GATGCACTGACTCAGGTGCCACCATACCCAGAAGTTAATCAAATTCTTACAGTAATTTCAAGACCAGACTAAGTCAAGACATTTTTATTTTTTGCTTGGCGTATAAAACTGATTCCCGTATGAAACAGAAATACGTAACTAGCAAACAGTTCATCTGGAGAGGTAGATGGTAAGAAGTTTGACGACAGTAGCACTTTTAGAGTTAGATTTGGCACGTTAAAGCTAAGCTTTTGTACAGACTTCAAGCCAGGCCACTCCTTGAGGCACTCTGCCCATACACACATCAGAAGGTAGGAAAAGATGCTAAAAAGATCTGAAAAACAAAACCAGAATCTAGTTAGAAAAGTATCACTGCTAAATGAAGCAACTCTTAAGAACACATATGTTTCAGAGTATGCCATGGACAACTATTTAGGAAAAATACCCTCTTTTTCCACAGTTGTTTTATAGAATACTGGTTTAAAAAATGAACTTTTAATGAAGCCATCCCCAAAGACAAAGATAATCAAAGCTCTTACAAAAGAACTAAAGCTTAGTGTTTCCTGGAAACCAGGCTGTTAAGCGGAAGGATAGAAGAAGCTGTTCCCAGCTCTTTGTGCTCACTAAAACACAAGGTTTTTATTTTGCCTTTGAAAAGCAGGGAATTTGCTGTGTAACAAATTACACTTCCCCTTCAGTGACGTGGTGCTGACTGCAAACACAAACACTATTGGTTCATCAAGAAAACACAAGGAGTCACCTCTTTTCAGGAAGTGCCTGGAACAGATACACTACCTCTATGTGAAACTCCTCCACTTTGCAGTAACTAAAACAAAAACAAGAGTTCAATTCCAAACGCTATAACTGAGAAAGAAAATATTAAGCCTTTTATGCCCTGTGTGTGCAGGTGTGGTGTGAGACAGAAACAAAGAGCTACAAGAACTCTAAAGCACATTTCATTTATACTGCTGTAATTCACTGCTCAAAACAATGTGGGAAGTATTTTGCTTGTTAAATAGTTAAGGATCAACTTTTATACTGTTACTATTCTGGTCTTTAAGCATGGTTATTCTGCTAGTACCCACATCTGTAACTTTTCTACAGTCAGAACAATTTTAACAATTCAATCTGACTCTGGTCACCTTTCTGTAAATTGCCTAACAGCACAATTTAAATCTAGCAAACTACAGTTCTTTGGATGATTTAAGTCAGCTACATAACCAGAATTTTTCAAGATTAAGGCTCACTGAGATTTCTAAGGATTGTGAACTACAGTTAAATATGTATCAGGTGCTCTGAAATAACCTCTGTGCTTTTGTCTCCAGCAGATCCAAGTGAAGGGACAACAGGAAAAGGGAACATAGTAAAATCATCATGCATTTACTGTGGTCAAAATAACCAAGTTATTGTGACTCTCTGAGTTTTGGTGAAACTATTGTGGATCTAAAACTCACCTTTCTAAAGAGGTTAGCCTAAAATCTAGTCCCCAAAATGCCAGATGAGTGAGTAGTCTTCCTGGTGATAGCAGAGTGCTAATGAACCTATGAAAGTTTTGGAATGAAAATCCAAATGAGTATTCCACTGTTTCCAGTTATTTAAACTGCTACCCCTGTAGTAGCTTACTTGAGTGGAATATGGGCTTTTAAAGGTACATACTTTTTAAAAAGTATATACTTTTTTCTTCAGGCAGAGAAGGCATCTTCCCCCCCACAGCAGTCAGTGATTTTCTTGGGGACCACCACCTGTTTTTGGAACTGTTCTTTAAAAGTTGAAGAACTAAAGTCTAGTTTATATGTCACAGTCAGGATTCACCACATATGCTGTCAGGTGATTAATTCCATATGAGAAAAGGGAAATAATACCCTTACAGAGAGGAAGATACAGCACAATTACTATTCAGCTGGGTTAGTCCAAATAGCAGCTCAGGAGTAGCTGGCCCTACTACTTTGCTACAGAAACTGGTAGAAGCTCTGCAACAGCAAAGCTTCCTATGCAGCTCATAGCTACTCATACCTATGGCCAGCACTTGTCCAGTACACAGCTGTGACCACTAAAGGGGAGAAGGGACCAAAAAGGGGGATCTAGAGCAACACCAGCTGTACAAGTCAGATGTTTCTGAGTGGCTTTCATACAGCCTGTCTCATTTAAATGACAAAAGAGTTTATGAATTGTAATTCAAGAACTTACCACTGAAAGATACTGAAGTAGTTCACATAATTACAAAAATGAACAAACTTTCTGGGGTCTGAATGGATTTGTACTTGATGATACTCCCGTCAGTAGGGGATCATGTTGTGCATTCTGCAGGCAGAATTGCTTCAAGTCAGCTGCAGCTTGAGAAACCTAGTTATAATAAAAGCTGGCATTAGAATTCACTGAACAGTCTTTACCCAGGATGTGGTTTTTACGTTGAAAAGTATAAAGAATACTACTAAATGATTCTGCAGTACAGCTTATGTAGATTTTATGCAATAATTTCATTGTAGTCTTTTTGTTAAAGACAAGAAGAAGAACAACGGAAGTATGAAAACTGATTTGGATGTTTTCCATGTTAAACTTCTAAGTATGAAGGGTGACATACGAGCAAGATCTTGGAGATGGCTTTATTAAATATATGAAGATCCTTGTTCTAGCATAAACAATTCAAATATACTGTCTATTGTTTAACATGTTCTGCTCGACTGAACTCACGTTTCAGGCTCTCTTGGAAAGCCATCTTTATGATGAGATAATGGGGTTCTGAGCACCCTTATAAGGGTTTTTTGGCATGCTTCCTAAAAACTGAACAGTGAAAAATTCTTTGTCTTGCTTCTCTTTGCTGTAACTGTGAACTCATAAAATAGAACGATCAGTTTCAAAAAGTTGCATCTTGCACTGACACTTCGTGTCTGCACTTTGCCCAGTTTCTCTGCCGTGCCAGGCGCGGTCTCACCCCGGCCGGGCACAAGCTCAATGCACTTGGTGTGCCCGGCAGCGACATCTCCATCTTGCCGTGCTGGGGCCAGCCCAGCCTGTTGTGCGCCCCGGCTCGGGCGGCCTCTCCCAGAGCCCGACGAAGGGCGCTCCTCGTTCCGAGGGCACGAACGGGGCAGCGGGGGCCGCGTCCATCGCCCCGGGGGAACGGCCCCGGGTCCTGAGGGGCGGCGGGGAGCGAGCGGCCGAGCCTCGGGCAGGGGCGGCGGCGGAGGGGACGCGGCTGCGCTGCCGTTCCGGGCTCACCTCGGCCGGGGAACCCCGACGGAGCCCCGGGAGAAGCCCGGGCGCCGCCGCTCGCCGGGTTCGCGGGGCGGGGCAGGTCGGAGCCGGCGGCCCCGGCCCGGCCCGGCCCCAGCGCGGCGGGCGCGGCCCCGGGGCGCTGAAATGGCGGCGCGTCCGTCCCGTCCCGTCCCGTCGCGACTCCGCGCTCACCTTCACGCGGGTCACACTCGCCTCCAGGCGCAGCTGCTGCACCACCTTCTTCATGGCCGCCACGTTGGAGGAGCCCGACATGGCGGGGTTGGCGGCGGGCTCGGTTCGGCACTCGCGGCACTCCCAGCACAACTTCCCGGCACGGCCGCAACTCCCCGGACCGCGGCGCCTGCGCACCCCGGGCCGGGCCGGGGCGGGGCCGCTCCGTGTGCCCGGGACGGGACCCGCCTGCGGGCACTGAAATAACCCGGCCCGCCCGCCCTCAGCGTGCGGCTGAGAGAGGAGGCTGCTTTCGCAGTGAGGTGGCGAATCTTGGTGGTCATACTCGCTGGGTTCCAAGTTTGGAGATTACTTTGGTATACAGTGAATGAAGTTCCTAACTTAGTTCTTGCTCGCAGTTTGTGTTGCCTGGAGGATCATTTTACTAGACCTAGTTCGTTGCAGAAAGTGGCCGGGAGCAACAATGAAGCCTGGAGCGTGGGGTGACATCGGGCACTGCGAAGTGCAGCATCTTCCCTGCACGCAGGAGCAATGGCAGGACCAGCTGCTGTGCCCGGCTGTGGCTGGGAATGATCCGAGGAGACAGGGCGCTGCACTCGGGTCATTTGTGGGAGCTTGCAAGTAAAGACACAGGCCCTGTTAAGTCGGTATTTCCCACTGACATGAGGAAATATTTAATTCCACAACGCAAGGGTGAGACTTGGAAGGTCCCGTCACTCGTGCTCAAGAGCAGGCGACTTAGAAGTAGCTGGGGTAGAGGCAAGAAGAGTAGAGAGATCTGTTGAGATCAGGAAAACAGCAAGGGTTCAGCAGGCTGAAAATCCAGAGGAGGTTTGTAACATCAGAGGGGCTGGAAGAGCTCCAAAGTGAGAACACCCAAGAAACTACTAACAAAAAGAGAAAGATGGAAACAAACTTTTTAATAGGGCCTGTTACAATAGAATTGGGGGAATGGTTTTAAACTAAAAGAGGGTTGATTAGAGATGAAAGGAAGAAGTTTTTAACACTAAAGGTGGTAAAAGCCTGGAAGAGGTTAACCAGAGAGATGGGAGATGCTCCACCGCTGAAAACAGTCAAGGTCAGATTGGACCTGGAGGTCTGGACAGCCTGGCCAAGTGGGAGATGTCCCTGCTCACTGCAGGGGCGTGGACTCACTGACCTTCAAAAGTCCCTTCCAACCCATTCCATGATTCTATAACAATGTTAGGACAGAACCATGGTTATAACTTATGGAAGTATTTTTCTGACACGGTTGCCCAGCACAGTCACGTTTCCTCTGAACACTGCATTTGGCTGGCACAATGTGTTTACTGCAGTTCACAATAATTATCACTTTATCAGATCCAAGTCCTGCAAGAATCTTGTTTTGTGGGGATTTCGGTCTGTGTCTTTAGAAAAACAGTGGAATTGTGTAGAAAACTGTATATTACCAAACTATTTTTATGAAAGGGGAGAAAATGTTAAGAGGAAATGCTCTAAAGCAGAGCTCTTAGAGCTGCAGGGCTATGATTTAGCAATTCCCCCAGTTACTTAGGAGATACTCACTTGTGTAGAAGGTGTGGTTGGTTCTGCTTGCAGTTAGCTGGAACCTTTCTGCCTCACCACAGACATAACTTCCGTTTTCATAAGTGGAATGAAGATCAGTAAATGAAAAAAAGAGGATATTTATGGAGTAACTTCTGTCATAACATATTAACATGAAACTCATTCTTAAAGAATGCTTCAATCAAAAAGAAAATTAGAAAACCCACCTGCTGTGGTCACATAGAGGGACCAACTTGTCATTGAGTCAAATGAGACCTCGAACATCACAGGTGAGAGTTTTTGTACTTTTTCATGAAGATTTTTTTAGATTTCACAAATCTAAAAATACTTATATTAAAACAAGGTTTTAGAAGACCTGAGAGGAAAAATAGATGTACTTTAAAAATAGCATATATACAAAGAATTATTTTCTAGTTAATATTAAGTAACTCAACAGTAGCAGAAACATTTAATATAGCTAATTTGCACAGCTTCTAGTTAAAGAGAAGTAATTAGCAGTGCAACAACTACCATGGATTCAAACACAGTCTAAGTGAACCTTGCTCAGAGCCAGCTTAGTTATTCTTTTTGCAGACATTAGCAGGAGCATTTTTGTGTTTCCAAGGTAGCTAATATAATTAACAACAGTCAGAAACATTCTGAATTTTTTTTTCTCGATGACACGTTTCAAGTTGTGGTGCTATTTGAATCAAGCTTTCAGGGCTTTGCATTTTTTATGAGATGAACAAAGGTAGGATTTCAGCTGAGGGATTCTTGTAGTCATGACACTCTCCAGAGTATCAACTGTTTTTGGTAAGATGTCTCCACTGCTGTCACAGTGATACACAGCAGTAGCACAGGCTCTCTATTATCTCACTTCCATTGTGGAGCTTGTTCTGATGTGACTTACTTGGATGCTGTCAGCTGGCATTCAGTCACAAATTTCTCTGCTATCACTGTTCTTGCTCTCTGGTCATCACTGAGAGACAGGGTCTCACTGTTCTAGTCCCTGTGCTGATATCAAAGGATTCATTCCTGCCTACGCAAATTGGAAGTCCACCTAAACCAAACAAAGCATATAGCAAGAGGATGATAATACATTTACATCTGTTCTTTTTTTTTAGCTGGTGGAGCTTCATGTTTTTTATGTCCCAGCAGAAGTATGGAACTTCAAGCTGAATACAGTTCCAGTAGCTCTTACTAGCAAATTCATCTCAGCTGGATTTATAAGGTGAGTGTAGTTCTAGGTTTCATGTATGTGGTAGGTCCTTCACACTGTCCTTCAGTCTTTTAGTCCAGCTGTTGCTCTAGAGAGCAAATTACATCTGCCAGCAGAAACTTGTTGTTTCATTAAATTTCTGGAGTGAAGTGGTGACCATAACTAGCATTATGTTAACTTGTACTCTATCAGGCTTACTTCTCTTGCAGCCCATGGTGTAGACCATTCAAAAGCACTTCCAGAGCAGTTCTAGCATTTCTGCAGAATGATTTCTATTGTAAAATCATATATTTTATTCTTTCTGTCTCCTTGAGCCTGATTATCAAAAGCTGGAATTCTTTTGGGCAATGGGCCAGCTTCAAGAGAGTGGCTAGATGAAGACAGGATAGCCTGTCAGCTCTCAGGAACAGGAATATGATGATCTGAGCTCTCTCAGTCCAGAGAAAGAGCTGAAGCTTTGTTTCTCAAGGGGGAGCATTACAGCCCATGAACCAGCAGCATTTCCTCTTTCCTGAGCAGTGAAAGGCTGTGCACAGCACCATGTGCTGTGTGTGCTCTCAGGTAGCTGTTTAAATGACTTATTGAAAGAATACCCTGGTTCCCAGTCCTGGCTTCAAACCTGGCACAGGAAGTTGCATTTTTAATCTGTCATAACTTCGAACTTTTTTTTTTTTAACTCCTAAACACTTTGCTCACAAAATCTGTGCATATCTAGTGTGGTAAGAGGTTGTAGAAAAATCAAATAATGTAAAGATGTGTATTGAAACTGAGCTTTTACATGCACCTTTTCTACATCTGTGCAAAACCTGTCAATTCATCTAAAACTGCAGGGAATAAAGGTTTTAATTAATTTAAATTGAGTCTTGTATTATCCACTTAAGACAATATGTAGTGTAGCTGAAAAGACTGACAGCAGTCAGGTATGAGCATGTAGGGCAGAATGTGTTCATTCTCACAGCTGCTTTTGTTGAAAGGCTGCTCAAAACCAGAGAAAATAAGTGCATACACCTATTTTGTTCGTTGTAGTCTGCAGCAGAGGTGCAGAATACACGTCTGAAGTGATAACCATGTTATGGACATCTGCCACTGCCCTATATTTTCTAGTGTAAATTTATTTCACTGAGGCATCAAATTAAACTAGGATCCTCACTGATTTCAGTGGGTTTATATCTGCCTGGGTATTGTTGCTTGCTAATGACTCTTAGATAATTGCTTATTAATTATTCTGTGAGTACTATGCAGTGCTGCAGTACATTAACAATAATGTACCTGGCCAGTGAATCAATGTCTTTAAAAACAAAACAAAAAAATTTTAAAAGCTTCTTTTATTATAATCCAGGAGAGGGAATGGCAGCCTTGCTGGTGCTGCTGTGGCTTGGACGTTGTTGATTGCTGTGTCGTTCAGTCAGCTTGACAATCCCAGCACTGTCTGAGTCAGATTTACAAAGGATTCCTAGGTCAAAGCACAGGCCACTTCCATTAGCTGAGAAATTAGAGGATGATATTAAGGATATAATTGTCTATGGCCCTGAGTTCTTGTTCCCATGAACTTGATTTTTAGCCTCTGTGAGCTTTTTTTTTAATTTCTCATTCCTCACTACAGAAGCCAAACTTTTATTATTTCTGGATGAGATGGCTGCAATAAACTCTAGTTTGCATTACTTTTAAAGGGACACCCTGAAGCAAGTGACTTGTATGTGACTATTTTCTGCCAGCCAGTGGCAGCAAGAGACAGACTAATATTATTGTATTTTCCTAGCAGCTGCACTGACAAATAATTTCTGGATAAATTTCTGCCCTATATCTCAGGATCTGAATACCTAGATACTTTCCCCCATTATACATTGTAGATGTGCCCACTCTGCAGACTTTGCTCTCCTCTGCTGCCTGCCTGTGCTCCAGGGCAGTTTTAGGATCTTGAGGAGGGTCCTCTAAGTCCAAGGTATTTGAAATAGTACAAGGGAAGCATTGTAGCCCTCTGAAGTATTGTGTACATGAGGTGAAAATGGCAGTGTTTTTACTGCATATTTGAGATGTGAACTGAAGGCCTATAGGGCTGCTTGCAAGTGCAAACAAACCTTGCCAGGTTAATGTGGAAGACCTGTTCAAATGGAAAGCCTGCCAGGTTCTTTTCTGTACTGTTTGCTGAGAATGGCATGTGCTATCCCCCAAGCTGTGTCTGTGCATTGCTTGAGGAGTGAGAGTTGCCTGGCCAAAATCATCCTACCCCTTAATCAGCGTGGGTGATTAACAGTCTCAAGCCTGCATTTGTTCCCTGGCTTCTTGTATGGCAGCATAGAACAATTAGGATTGCTTATGCTGTGCTGCAGAGCTTTGGTGTGCCTCTGGCACATTTGGATTTATTGTGCAGAGATGCTTTTTATTCTGTAGTGATTTCTTCTACTGAGCTCTTTACCTCAATATTTGCATACTTTCAAGTAGTACATTAAATGATGCAATTCATATTTGTGTCAGCATTCTCATCCTCAAATCATGGTGGAAATGTTCACACTGGAGTGTTTGTTTTTTATTTAAAATACATTTGCATGCACACATACACACACCCAGCTGTGAATTTGTGTTGGAGAAGACAAAAGCAAAGGAATGTGCCTGCTGCTTAAAGTGGATAGTGATGAAGGCTCTTCTGGCCCTGGGTGCTTAAAGGGAATGTTCAACAGTCCTGGTCCAGCCCCATGAAACTGTCACTTAGAAGGAAGTGCATGACTGTAACTTCCAGTGTTGTTACTGACCAGCAGATGAGCAGCAGCATTCTGAAGGAGTAAATTTCAAATTTTATCTGCTTTCTCACTTTGTATGAGGCTGATACAATGTGAGTCTTGCTAGTTAATGTCAGGACAGCCCTTACAGTGCAGTGTTCTGACTGCCACCCATCTGTCACTGGGTTCAGTTCTAGGACATAGTTCCCAGTTTTGGGCATTCTGTTTGTGCAAGGCAGCACGTATAGAGCATTATCTTCCCCCTCCTACTAACTAGCCATCATTACTTGATCTTACAGATGTATTAATGACTGACAACATTCTAGGGTGTCTCCTCACATCACATTAAGAGTGCTGCGGGAGAGGCTTGGAGAGTACCTGGGTGGTGTGACAGTGACAGATAAATTCAGATTTTTAAAATGCATTGGAAAAAAACTAGCAGTGGTAAGTTATTTTTTTTTCTTCAATGCTCTTGTTTTATAATGTAAAGCAGAGGTTTCATTCCTGCAGATGAGATAATAATATCACACAAAGTAGAGAGAACTTTAGGAGCACTGCTGACATTTCTTTTAAACATGCTGCAGCATAAGCTCTTATCAGAGCACATCTGCTTCCCCAGCTGCAAAGGCAAAGCTGGACAGTTATATTAGAAATACCCTTTAAAGCAACAGGTGTAATTAGTTGTTGTCCAGTAAAAAGATGATAGTTTCGATAAATCCATGGATTAAATATAATAAATCTGGTTGCATTAAAAAAAAAAACCAAACCCATAAGGCCATTATTGCCTGTACATGGTTGGGAATAATTCAGTTGACAAATTTGCAATGGGAGCTCAGTCAGAGTTCCTCTAATGGCTCCTGCTGTGACCTGCCCAAAAGCACTTAAGACATCATTCTCTGCATGAAAACTTCTCTGGATGTTCCACTGTTTAGTGCAATAATGCAGCCTGAGATGTAGGTAATAAAACCCCTACATGTGTGAACCACAACTGTTCCTCACAGCAATTCCACACATACATCGTACAAAGTATAGCTAAAAATTAAATAAAATTCAAAATTAGTCCAACTGAAAGTTTGTTCATGTAAAACACGAAGATTTAAGTCATGTATGTAAGTATAGAATACTTTTTCCATGTCTCATTTCACCTCTTTCTCATGGATTTGGAAATTAACTACAAGCAGGAAATTTGGTGCCATTCTTTATTTCGTTTCTAGTTGAATTATCACTAAAATCACTCTCACAGAAGACTAGAATAAATACTAAATAATATGCAAATACTAGGTGGAAAAACATGAAAGGAAACTTAAAAGACTGTGACACAATCTAAATTGGAAAGTACGCATATGTTTTCAATGAATTGAGGTCTTTTTAACTGGATGATAATAAGTAAGATGGTTGATTTTATTCCCCACATAGTTCAGAGATAAATGGAGAAATTTTCCAGCCTTTGTAATGTCAGCAAATGAATAAAATATTTTATGTCAATAGAGAATTAAAGATACTGGTAGCATACATGAAGATTTATAGAGACAAATGAAAGATATAGTTTTACTTTGAAGTATTTACTGTTGCTTGATGTTTAACTTTATAGCAAAGTGTAAAGCAATAAACCAACTGCTTTATTTGTTGTTTAGGGTCATGGTAACCTCACTGAATTACATCTTCATGATCAAATATTTGTTGAGTGTTCTCTCCCCTTAGTCTTCTGTTTCACAACTCTAACAATGTAAGCAGAACTGAGAGCTGTGCCCTACTTGCAAGCAAGGGTCTTTTAAATAAAAAGATAAACAAAAATCATGTTCATTTGCTCTTCCTTTTTTGCATACAACCTGTGTGTTTAATTCAATATAACTTTTTGAATGCAAGCTCAGAATTCTTTTCCTTGCATTGGAGCATATCTTTCAAATATATATTGGCTGGTTTAGACTTTGTTCTTAGGAAAACTGTTGAAATGTGAAAGTGTACGTCACAAAAAGAATATGAAGGAAAATGGTAAATACAAGAAGACATAGGGTAATATTAGACTTTTTTCCATATGGATTAAATATTTTGCAACACTGTATTAGGTGAATAGAGAAAATTATATCAGACTCAGCATTTCTGTCCAGATTCAGCTTGAAGCAACTTTTGATATAGAAGGTTGAAAATTTTCTTTTCCCATGATTGTTGGATCAGGTCCTTTGAACCATAAGAGAAAGTGCAAAGGATAAAAACAACCTTTCAGTATGTGCATGTAATCTTGTGGGTCTGATTAAGATTGTGAAAAATAGACAAAGTTCCAGAACTATGTCAGAAAATACAATAGTAGTTTAAGATACTTTTCCCCCTTAAGGCCACTACAGATTTTAGTGCTGGTTATAAAATAATGCAGTATGTAAAAATGACAATAAAATGCATATGTCACTTTCAACACTATTGATAAAAAAAGTATTTTATTTGTTATGCTTCCATACTTTATCTTCCAAGGTGAGGGCAGAGCAGGAAACAGAACTGGAGCTGAAGTCATTTGCTCCTCCTTATGTAAGTACTGAATGGCTTATAAGGTACCATTTTCAGAAACTTTACATTGCACATTTTCTTTGTCCTGTCTGATGGGTATACTGTGTAATTTCAGGCACTTTATCCTGAATTATATTTATTACCTGGAGTGGAATATTTTGAAGATGTTTATCCATTACCATCATCAACTCAACAAAAACATCACATTATTGAAGAAGCTAATAGGTTTGGTCATGGATCAAGATTATCCAGCCTTTCCCAACAGAAACCTGAAAAAAGCAAACCATTTTTAGAAAGTATTAGAAGCAGGCATCAGGTAGAAAATCTGGAAGCGCCCAGTCCTGTGGAATGGGATGAGAAAGAAACTGTTGCAGTTTTGCACACAAACAGTAAGGAAGACAATAACAACAGGATTCCAGAAAAGCAGTTTGGAAATAAAGGTAAGCTTAACCAGTGCAGTGAAGGAGGATGGTGAATGAGAAGAAAAATAAACATTATGGTTAACATTTACAGTAAAATAATATCTCTGTTCCATATTATCAATTATTATGCAGATCAAAGTGGATCTGATGGATCTCTCTTCACACCAAATCATTCAAATCCTGCAGGTCAGGAGCCTGGAAAGCGTGACCTGGTATCACAGACCTCTGAGCAGAATCATCTCAGCCAAGATCAGGAAGACTACAATGCTCCTAAGTGGAACAACAAAGCCAAAGGAACTGCTCTTACTCATGTAAACCACAGTGATGAACAAGGCCAGGGTAACCAAAGACCCCAAAATCACAGTAAACATCAGAAGGGTACAAATGTTTATTATTGTCTTTTGGCTAAAGCAAGAGTTCTAGAAAGTCAGCAAAGTAAAGCTAAGTTTCAAGAAAATAAAATAATTTCTTAAAATAATTTGAATTACAGGTTAAAATAATCTGTAATTAAAGCTTAAGTTGGAATAGCACTCTCAGAACAGTATTCAATTTAAAAAAATGATATCTTTCAAAGAGATGTAGTTTTACCTTGTGATTCCTTCATTAACACTGTGTGCTGATATAGAGAAATGCTTTACTATAATTGATACATTTGTCTAATCACCAGAATTAGTCAGATATAAATTCTAAGAACAAAAATACCTTTTTTTTTTTCTTTTTTCTGTTATTCATGGAACATTTCCAAATCCCAGCGATAACACCACTTGCTGTGTTGATTCACTGAATTTCCAATGCAGGTTGGAAAGCCCAGGCATTGACAGCCAAACCAGCCTGATTTTTGCAAGTGTAATCTATTTGTTTTTGTCATCACTATCCTGTCACAGAACCAGCAAATATGGAAAATAACGAGCACCAAAAAGATACCAAATTAAGAAGAGACGGAACACAGGATGCTGAAATTCTTAAAATAATGGAAGATCAAACTACAGATTATGTCCACAAAAAGCAAAGGTTGGCAAATAATGAATCTTCTAAAATAATGGACAATATTAATTAACTGATACAAACTTACTTAATAGACTTCAAGTAAATGAAAGAAAAGGAGAAAAAAAAAATTCAGTTAATGAACTTTCACTTCTTTTTTGATTTTATCTTAGCTTGCAGCAAAACAGAACTAAGAAGGCTAGAGTTGGTGAAAAACTGGATAATCAGGTATGCTTTTCAAGGTAACATTCCAAGTAATCTTGAGTAATAAATATAATCCTTCACCTAGAAACAGTCTAATTTTGTAAGACTGGTGACTCATTATAAATATGAAAAATTTGAGAATAATTGAGAAAAGATAATCCATGTACTGTTACTTAGCAGATTTTCCAATGAATATCAACTATATTTCTAAACAATTAAAATCTGCAATTACAAATTTTAGTTTAGAAATTGGCAGTTTTTTATTTCATAATTAATGAACCAGGTGGCTGTTTGAAGGCCCTTAGTTCCTGGTCTTGCACGGGAATGTCAGTAACTGGTAGGGTTGTGGACATGGACAAGAACAATTAGCAGTAGTCTGTAGCTTTGTCTGTGTGTTCAGTGTTCTCATTCTGTTTGCAGATCCAGCTGTTTGTAATTCAGTAGTCGTGTGTGCTGGTTACAGAATAAAAAAGCCTTCCTGCAGAAGTCAGATTCAGCCCTCTCATTCACTCAGGCCACTTTCAGGGCATGTGTCAAATGTAACTATTCAGGATTATGGTTATGTACTTAGTTGTGTCTTTTGACTCTACAGGCAGATGAAAACAAGCAAAATCATCTTACTTCTCCAAAAGAGTACATTTCACCTCCTAGTCCACCTTTTTTGGCACTTACTGTAAATCCAGCTCAAGTTCCTGTAATTCAGGCAGCAAGTGAGTACATGATTCCAAGAAATTGCAAGGAAGTGAACATTTAATCAAGACTGAAGAGTCAATGAAGACATAAATACCTACACTGTACATACATTAATTCACAGTATTGTTGCAAATTTTAATTTATTATTAGAAAATTCCAGACATTTATGATTGCATGGGCTATCCTAGAGCTTGGCAGGTTCCCAGCACAAGAAAAACTAACTTGTCAAGTTGTGGATGGAAGGAGAAAAGGAGGGAGATCAGATGAAATACTGCAGGCTTAAGTGAGAATGTAGCAAAGAAAACCACAAGTGGTGTTGCAGAGGAGGAGTGTAGTGAGAAGTTAAGTTTTTGACCTATTGTTGCACACTAGTGGAAGTCTGAGATATTGTCCTGCCAGCTGGAGTTTAAAGCAAGATTTCTCTACATTTATATTGCAATGTACTTTAAACAGGAAGTAGTCTTTTGGAGGCTTTTTTGGCTTCATTGGCAAGAATTTGCAATGTGTGGAGTGAGTACATTTCTTGATTACATAGTTTTAGTGATATATTGTCTAAATGTATAGAAAGATGTTTGTATGTGTGTGAATGCCTGGATGCATGCTGGATTTCTCCCTTTTTCTAAAGCACCAGCCATTCTGAAAAGTTAGATTAAAATGAAACCTGATTAAAATGAAATCGTTTGTACTGCTTGTTCTGACAGAGCTTTTGCATAATCTGTGATGAGTACATTACAAAAGTCTTGACTGATCCTTTGTACTTAGAGTATTCAAATACTTGCTAAATATAATTGTAATATCTTTAGAAAACAAGATGGTAGAACAATTGCAGGAAATTAAGAAAGACAGAAGACACATGGAAAAAACTAGAGAAGAACTGATCAAAAAAGCTAAAGGGCTACGGGAACAAAATAAGCTGAGGAGATACCATGGTACGCTTTTAATTTATATTGGAATTTGGAGTGATTGAGAACTTACACTGAAACTAATGTGAAAATATTTGTCTCCTTGTCAGTGAGCTTTATTACAGAGATAGCAGTTTGCTAACCAGTAGCTCCAAGAAGGCTCATTTTGTGTAAAAGCATTCTAGAAAAATTCAAGGTTGCAGTGTTTCCTTCCACATTTTTTTTGTGGCATATCTTATAAAGTTAAGGTTATTCTGGCTTTCATAAACTGTTCAAGTTGTGTCTTATGTATGTGCAGTGTTCAGAGAGCTACTGCAGGCTGCTTCTCTCTGAGGCCCAGGGCAGCTGGCATATTCTAACCCTGCCTTTAGCTGGTGCCTACAGAGGCTTGTACTGTGTTCACAGGGCTTCAGGTAAATTGCATAATAATCTTTGTTCCTCCTATCCAATGGTATTCAGTCTATGACATGGAAGTTACAAACCTTTTGTGACAAGCTTGACAAACCTTGGTTTTTAACAAGGTCAAATCTCAATGAAATTTCATGTGAATTTTCTTAGTAAAATTATTTTTGAGTTTATACTTAAAAATATCTTCCCTAAGTCACATCCCAGTTGTACCGAGATGAGCTTTAATTGTTTTGATGTTTTGAGAGCTTTCTCTTTGTGCTTAAATGTAGCTAAGTCATGATGAGTCTCAAATATTACTTGTAGATGGTTGAAAGTAGACAAGCCAATTCTTTCAGTTATTCTCTAAGGATGTGGCTGCACCACACCCTGCAGCGTGGGCCATTTGTATTTTAAAAACCACAACCTTGGGTGTTTGAAGCAGTAGCTCTGTAGTAGCATGGAGCTGCATTTCAAGCTAGAGATAAGCCCTAAATGGCACCTGCATTGCCTTCAATTATGTTAGGTAAAATAAAGGTTATTTCACAAGGATTCAAACAGCTTCTGCGTTCTGTAAGAAGCATCTGTACCTCAATTTTTTTTATCTGACCTGTAGAGTTTTGTAAGTAAGGGCAGGTAGCAAGCATGTATCTTTACAAGGTATTAAGGAAAGAGCATTTTCTGCAGTATCAGCCATCCAAGTCTGTATTTAATGTCCTCCTAGGACTGCCATGCTAACAGGCACTCTCAGCTACATAGCAGAGAGTCTTCCAAGAGCCGAGTTCTTTTGGGTCAGTTTCAGTTGTCCTGCTTCCATAAAATATGCCTCTAAAGAAGGGATTCATTTAAGACTGCAGGTTTGCAGTGGCCATCAGACTGCCACAACACATACAGGGCATTTATGTGCCAGCTCTTGATAGCACATCAACAACATAGGAGGAATCCTAGTAAAGGATAAAGGTAACCAGCTGCTTCCCATAATTTGGGATGTCAGTGTAAAATGAAGCTGTTCAAAATCTCTGGCCATGAAGAACATAACTTTTGCCTAAATCTACAATGCTACATTTTCTGGAACAGTAGAGCTGTGGACTTCAGATTGTGCTGGGCATACCTGTCTTCACAGGCCAGGAGCACTTAAGTGCAGCAGAACCTGCAGAACAGCCAGGCTGAATAAAACTGGGTTTGGACCCTATGTTTTATCTCTGGGCAGATAGAGCCTTTTGTTGCAGCTGTTTGTGTGGCAATTCAGTTGCAGTTAGAGTGAATGTAATTTTAATGAAGACTTTTTTCACTAAATGTTTCTTTTAAAGAAATCTCCAGCCATGTGCCATTGGGCAGCTGAAGCTTGTGAGGTGAGCTGATCATGACTGTCTTCAGCAGACCTTATAATAAAGGGAACAAGACCAAATACTACTATTGTTTTCCTGTGCAGTTCGTGAGGAATGGAAGAAGAAGTACTTTGAAACTAAAAAAGCTACAGTTTCACTGGAGGACACCTTAAACAAACTGCGACAAGATTTAGAGCTTTACCACCACAAATTGCTCTTGCAATTGGAAGCCAGAGATAGCCAAAAACGACCAAACAATACAACAACCTCCAAGGTATTTGCTAGTATTATTTATTATCTCTTTTTAGACAGTCGGAGTGGTTTTTTTCAATAAAATATAAACGAAAGAAACAGATTTATTGCCAACCAATGACTTGTAAACTAGCTTTAGCTCAATGATCTGAGGGACAGAATTCCTTCAGGCCATTTGTCTCAAAAAGACTGCAGAAGTGTTTGAGTCTGAGCATTTTTTTCTTTCTGCTTTCTGTTGGTACCCTTTTGTAACAAACTCCCCTTTCTGTTCAGTATGGTTAATGGATTGTTCAGTTCTACTTTGTTTCTATTATCCAAGATTTCATACAAGGAGGCAATGAATGTTTGGAGCACGCAAAAGCTGTAGCTTTTGAAGTGATTGCACTTCAACTGTTGTGCAACTGTGAGTTTCATAGGAAGTTCAGAGGGATTAAAAAGAGAAAAGATTAAAAAGAAGAAAAGATAAAGGAGGCAACACCCTTTCCAACAGTTGTGTCTGTTAATTTTCTAAATGCATTAATGGAAGCAAGGCTGTTGACAAAACTGAAGCTGGCCAAGGAAAAATAAATGTCCCTTTCTTGCATCTGAAAGCTGCGTGCATATACAATTTCTAAGTATATATTATATAAAAATGTGTATTCTTTGAGCTATCTTGAAATATCTACACAATAAAACTATGATTAGGGTTGACATTGCTTTACTGGCTATGTTCAGACAAGTTATTGCTCCTTTTGAGGGGCCTGTCAGGGGTGGGGGTTTTTTGGTCTCCTTGGCTAGGCACAGAAAGGCTTACATGAAGGAAATGCACAAGGCAACATTGCTACAGCAGTTGTGTAGTGGCCAGCACCCAGAGAAGGGAGCCAGGATTTACTGAGCACAGGGGTGCTCCCCACCCGTCGTGAGCGACGTGCAGCCAGGCAGGCAGCAGCCAGGTGGGACAGCAGGGCAGCTGGAAAGAGCTTCTTAGAGGATTGTTCCTGAGTGCTGCAGTAACACCCACTGAGGGAACTGAGGCACTAATGCTGCACTTCAAGTTTTGTTGTTGTTTCACACAGAATTACACAATCATCCGGATTGCTACAGTGCAACATGAGCTCGATCAACTGAGGAGGAAGCTAGATGATACAAAAATGAGACTACTAATAGAAATTAAGGTACTCTGCCTTTTAATTGGAACTGTCAGAATGTGGTGATGTATAACAAAAATTAGAACTTCTCAATTATCAGATAATGTAAATATTTGCTAAACAGTTCTTGTTTAATGCTGTTGGTTTTAAGGTGTTAGGTGTTGTGACTTTAGCATTTGAGCTAAATTACTCCAGAACACCAGGTTATCAGAGGATTTGGAATGTATGGCATTCAAACAACTTAGCTAGTCAATGTACTATGTAAGCTAAGGTTCTCACTCTTGTTCATAAAATTCCTATTTCATTCAAGAGTTAATTGAAGAAATACACCTGGTGTGGTAAGGCACTGAGCAGTAATAAATAGACCATAGCTAAAGAAAAAAAAGTGGTATAAAGGAAAAAAAAAACCAACCAAAACAAAAAAAAAGGCTGTCTAAGCAGATGGCAAACCTCTTCATTTGCTTTATTTCATATCAGTGTTGCCTATGTCTTTTTGGAAGAAGAGGTAGTATAGACTTTCACATTGGACAACTTTCCGGCTCTGAAAGCTTGAAATAGGAGTGTTCTACATCACAGAGATTATTGCCCATACTCCTGTTTGCAGGGTGGTTGTAATCATTATGACTCCTCCATGGTCTAGCAAGGAGTGGAAAGAACAACTAATTTTGCAGTTGTCTCAAAAACATCAAGGCAAAGTACAGAACAAAGTAGTGCTAGAACATATAAAATTTCAAAGATGAAAGATGTGTCCTGTACTCAGCCATCCTGTATAAAATTCAGTCTTAGTTATATAAACCTATATGTATGTTGGCTCCAAAAAAAGCTTCCTTAAATTGCCATTCCTTAAATGATGGGTTCTTTTGCAGATGAGAAAGCAGGCAGCATCTGATTTAGGAGCACTGAGAGCGGAACTGACACAGAAGAAAATTCATTCAGCTTTAATTCTCCCGTCCAGAAAATGAGGAATTTAAGAAGATGACATGACCAACATCTGTGAAGTCTACAGCAGCTCTCTAGTGTATGTAGAAGAGAATTTCAGAGCATTTGTTTGTGTGTTCTTGAAGGTATTTTGTAAAAAGGCATTAATTATATAAATGTTGTGGAATCTGTATACTAGGCTACTGAGGGAATGCTGCTCACTTATTTTTACATCTCACTGTAAGATTAGTCAGCTACTTAAACATACAGTTTAAGCTAGTAACATGTCTAAACCGAAGCTGTTATTTTTAAAGTGCAAATTAGTTAATTGTGTAACATCCCAGTGGTATGCTGATTCAATTAACTAAATAGCTACTAAGAAATAAACCTAAAATCTGTAACCTCCTGTTCTTATGCCATTTTTTAGAAATTATTAAAATACATTTTCAGTAGAACTACAGCAACAGTAATCCTTTATTTGACTATTTACTGGAGTATGTTTTTGCCATTATAAATATGCCTATCTATAAATTACCAATGTATCATTACTGTATTATTATGAAGCATAAACAAAATCTCAGATCATCTCACTTTATTCCCTATCTAGCTGGTTTTGTTCCCTCTCTTATTAGGAAAGGCACACGGACATTAACTGTCTTCTGTAGTTTGAACACTTGCCTGAAAGCTTTCTCTTGGACCAGTATAATGATGATCCTGGTCCAATTTACACTCTTGCATATTCTGCCTTTCCTTAATTCCAAGGTCATGCATGTCCTGAGATTAAAAATTCTCTAAAAGAGGAATCAGAAACCTCTTCATAGGAATTTTTTTTCTAGCTCTGCTGTTTGCCTCTTTGCAAACAAGATATTATATTAGGCAGAAGGATAACATGCTAAGAATTAATCTCAGCTAAAAAGCTGTCAAGGCTGTATATTACTGGAAGTGAAACACTCATGGGAAATAAGTTATATGATAAGAAAATTATGCAGTGCTCAAAAGAACTAACTTAGAAATGTCTTGAGTCAAACCACCCATTATCCAACTTATTTTCTTAAAGATGAGATTTAACAAAGATTTTAGTACTAAAGGATTAAATAAATTATTAAAACTACACCCACTTTTGCTCAATTCAGGGTTGAAGCTCACATTCTTTATTTAAGAATTGTCTTTTACTTAAGATACAAGAGCAGGCCACTAGCTACTGGAAAATCAGAACCTAAATTTAAAATATAGTATTATCAATTCATGATTCTTGACTGCTACAGGAAAAATAATTTTATTATTAAGTCATCTGGCCCTCAGAATTTTGCAGGACAGATATTTGTACCAGAAGACTCTCCATTCAGCAAATACCTATATCTCACAGTATTTAAGCATTTAAGTAGTAATACACATTCTGAAGAACATATATGTATGTGTGTATATATGTATTAAAAATATATATATATAAAATGTAGCAGTTTCTCTTAAGGCTTGTAGAGTGGTGTTCTAGTGAAAAGCCTTCTGATTTGTCAAGGGATTTTTTTAGTTTCTGCAAGAGCAGTAGGCTTCACCTTCTGCTTTCCATCACCGTATGATCAAGCAGACAATTCAGATGAAGTCTTCCAGTCTTTTCCTCAGTAGGCATTATGGTAATGCTGCCATACTATGGTAACTCTTTAGCAAGCAAAAAAACCCAATCAATCAAACAAAAAACCCCAACCCCCCAACCAAACCAAACAACCCACCAAACCCACAACTCACTACTAAATAATTATTTTAATTAATGGAGTCACTTAAGCAGGGCCCAGCTGCACTTTAATCTGGTTGTGAAACAGTTCTGAGAAGCAAACAAGCAGTGTGGGCTGTAAGCTGTAGAACAAGTAAAGCACAGACAGGGAACATTGTTTACAAGCCTTACCAAGACTGCATTTTATTTAACAAAAAAAATCCTGTAAACACCAGCCAATCTTTACATCACTATGGGTATTTTAAAAAGTTATACAACTTCTTTAGGCAAATGATTTTATGAAAATATGAACTAGAAAGAAAACATATCTCCTATTATCTCAGAGGCAACACCCCATAAAAACAAAAAACAGGCTACTGAATGAAGCTTAAGGTGTGTGGAAAAATAGATATGAGCTTCATTAAGTAAGCTTCTGAATTCTTTTTTTTTCAGGAAGTAGTTTGAAATGAAAGGAAACATCATTCAAGCCCTCTTTATATTAATGCTTCTTTTTCAAGCTAGGGTCAGAGATTTTTGGCTTTTGAAATTAAGGAATTTATGTGATACATAAGCACAGTGAAACTGGAGTTTATTGAATATTCCGTTCTAACAAGTTTCATATAAATCTTAACAGCAAGTACTTCATGTTAAGTAATTTCTTCAATCCATAAAAAAACTTTTACTCTAGAACAGTAACCAACGTGCATATAATCAACAATCTGTCTCTCCAGTACACTGTTTAATCTGATTCTAGAGTGACTTAGCTAAAATATTGTTTGGGTTGGGAAGTCAGAGGACTGCACCATGTGACACAGGAATAAATATTTGCTGCACCTGGCAGCTTTAGCAAAGCATCATTATGAGACTGCTCCTGTAAATCCATCAGTTGTTCTTTTTACCAGATACACACTGGGTTCGAGCATTAACTAACTCACAGTAACTGTGAAAAATTAAAAAGATGAGCTGTCTTTAAAAAAACCTACTGCTGCAAGGGATGTTATTCCAAAGCAACATTGGAATGTTCTGAAGAATGAAAATACAGCTTTCCATATAAAATAACAAGATTAATTTGCCTAGCTTTTAAAGTTTTTCTAATCACAATATATTTATATAAAGTCAAAATCTGTGATAGTGTAAGCCAAAATAAAAAATTACCAATTTTCATCATTCTACATCAAGGGTTCACATAGTTCTTATGGTGTCAGAGCTTGCCACATTGCTTGAGTTTGTTGTTCTGCTGCAGCTTCCCTGGAATAGTCAAGGCTGTTTCCATTCCACATGCCAATGCCCCTTAAGCCCCGACTTTTCACATATGCTGCTTTTAGAGAGATGCTGTGAGGGTCATCAAACCATACCTGGTGGAATTGACCAACAGAATCCTAGAAAAACATTTAAACACTAGTGTCAGTGATTACATTTTCTCTTGAACACAGTTAAAAGTACAATTAAAAACTGAGATACACAAGTTATGTAGACTTATATAGTATTTTCCTGATTTACTGTCACACAGGGCAATTAAAAATTCTAAGTCAAATACTTGGGTATTTTTAAATTGTATAAGTTATAAAACACAATTTAACTGAAGTTAGATGAAAAGACTTAGCTAATTTGTATTTTAATGTTTTTTAAAATACGGCTAAAATTTCAGATACAGTATCTAAGCTAACACGTGAATTTAGTTAGAGGTTGTGGGTTTTTTTAAGCAATAAACAGTTTTAAAGGAGATTATAAAATTTTATCAAGGTTATGCTGCTTTTACCTGGTCATTGCCTACAACATCTTTTAATCACCTACATGTGAAATTTAAATAATGTCTAAAGAAACAAGACAAAATGGATACAATGTGGTGTTCTTGTAAGCACAGCAATTTATGGACTCTTTCACTGTGTCTATGTAGAAAACCAATGCAGAAAAGAATTATTAATGCAGAAAAGAATGCCACGCTCATGCAAGGCACTGAGCTAGACAAAATTAAGAGCATCTTAGAATATTTTTTAGTTCAAATAATTTATCAACACATGAAAGTAATTATAACAGTGAAGGACACAGCTATAGGATGTCTTTGTGCCAAAATGTCCTTTTTGACATGATGCAGTATCTCAAGAAGCCTGGAAAGTAATAAAGATCTTTATTACTCCTGTAATCTTCAGGCACTGCACCCTTCTCTCAGACTAGGAATTCAAGACACAGATTTCCAGCAATCCTTTACTATGTAAAAAAAAAAAAAAAAAGTAAAAAAAAAAAAGTAGGAAACATAAAAGGAAGAAAATAATCTAATCCAAATAACTTTATAGTCAAAGATCTATGGCTCATGAATGCTCACTCCACACCACAGTGTCTTGGAAAAAGACTCTTACCTTGTACTCATAAAATGGAGCTTTCTGTACCTCATCCCACAGCACCCCTGAAAGAGAACTGTTCACCTGCTTCATGATGGTTGAGTAGGGGACCTGGCTCCCTGCAGCATCACTGCAAGGAGCCCCACGGAAAGGCACTTTGTGAAGGGAACAAACATGATCCTGAAAAAGAAATAGGGAGGCATGAGTTTCATGTAAGATATACTGAACTCCAGAATAGAAGTACAGCCAAGAACAATTCACAAAAGTCATCAGGGCCACAAAAATCCCAAATCTTCAAGTAACTCTGGCAGACAGTATTTGTAGAGAAAAGTAAATTAAAACAGCTAAATTTTCTTTAATCTGCAGTAATACAGGACTTGATGGATATCATTAAGCTTAAGCAGTTGTCTTATCTTTTCCACCTTTAACTGAACCTTACCTTTTTCATAGGTATAATATTTGAGACCTCATAAAATGCTATGCTGTAACAGTCATAGGTTTGTTATGGTTTGTTGCACCTGTCTTTACAGTGGTGTTGAGAAGGCCCATACAAGTGTTTGGACACCATCTCTTCTCATACAGATAACATTTATAGCTCCTTAGTCAAACACAGTGCTTGGATATTATGGGGTTCAAGCTGCCTAAGGAGCTAAAATGCCTTGTCTGGTAACACACTGCTCATCAGTTATCAGCCAAGCAAACAAATCTGTTTTATGTCCCAGCTTGATGCTCTTGTCCATCAGACTACACTATTTCCTAGTCCAAAAACAAGATTACCAAAATCTAGTTGTATCTTTCCAAGGAAAAAAAATTACAGTTCGATTGCAAACAAATAATCTTCACCTTACCGTGGATAGGTTTTGGCAGATATAGTCATAGCCATACCAGGGGACACCCATCACAAGCTTCTTAGGATCAATGCCCATAGCAATGTACTCTTCATATCCTAGTTTTGAAGGAAATAAAAATTAACATGCATTATTTACTTTTCCTATGCTTTTTATTCTTACAACTAATTTAGACCCAAAGACACTGCAGAACTTGCATGATCCCCAGAGGCCAAGGAGCAAGCTGTCCTTTGCCTTCACCTGCATCCAGCGAGGACAGGCTTGCTCTGCTGAGACCCCAGTAACTGCTCTACTTGCTCACACTTTAAACCATGTGCCCTCAGCAGAGGTTCACAAAGATGAAAGAAGTGTTTTGGGTTCTTTGCAATCTCAGGCAGACACCATTGCTCTGGCTGTCATTTGTCATTCTGAAAGCGATCTTTGCCCTCATGATGTTACAAGTAACACCACACAACTGCTAAAGCTCTGCCTGTAGGGTCAGAAGGATCATGGATATTATTTTCACATTTTGAGCACACTCAAAGCCTCACTGCAACAATAACAAAATAAACCTGTCTAAGAAAAA